CACATATTGCCATGACATTTTGGGTAGTTGAACCACTCTGACCATTGTATGTGACCTCTTCGTGGCTGGGTAGTCAGGCATCAATGTGCGTATCGTCGATTGCCCCAATGCAGTTCTGTTATCCATTGTTCGAAACTCATTACATTCTGAAGTTAATGTAACACACTAATAAAAATTACCTTGAAATATGACATTTAACAAGGATCATTGGCAATTTTTTCAGAAGTAGTAGCAAACGATGGATCATCCAGCTTAATGATTTGCGACGCTAAGCTCATAAGTGCTTGTACACATTTGGAGAAGTATCAACTAATTGTTTTTGAGGAATGTTGAAATTGCTTCATAGCTCATCTAATTGATTTGTTCTATGAGAGAATGTCCAACACCTCCCTAGTTGTCGTTCTAGAAGATCCTTGGAGGTCGTAGTTAAGACATAACTTGTGAAGGAGATCCATAAAAATGGGAGCAGTCATTTGGAAAATATTGTTAAAGCTTATCAAATGTCCAGAAAGCATCTCACCGACTCATTTATCCCAAACAAAAGAGGATGTTATGCACGATATTCGACCAGTGCTAGAGCGTTAGTACTCCGACAATAATATCACAATAGCTATAACCCATGTTATTCTTTTACGACATTTTTGTTGTGGATCAATCCTAAAAGGAGAAAGGTATTAGGATGAAATAAATTATAGAGAAGTAGCAGCAACAAAATGAAATATTAGAAATATCATGGACTACAAAACATCAAAAAGGAATTACATATATTGTTCTGAAGAATAAATAAAACCGTTGAAAAGTAAATATCAAAAATAAAAATTAGTGACATATACAAAAAACTCATTCTTCCACTAAAACACACAAATATTCAATGCACAGTTCGAGCCGCAACGCCATGAATATTTGCCTATGTGTAGAGTCCTCAAGTTTTTTTGCATATTTGACATGAAAGCTTATATCAACAACTACTTCTAGAAGAGCATCCAAATCCCCAATACAGTCTATGTTGGTGTTGTCAGGGAAAGAAGAAGGTGACGGAGCTGCAAAAGCATCAATCAGTTTGTCAAATGAGCTTTCCACGAAAATGTCCTTATCTTTCCTCCTCCTACCAAGCCTGGGCCTCTTTGGAAGGGTGACGAACTCCTCCATCTCTTTCTGGTTAATACTAGGTCATTCTTCATCAGCTGTAACCTACTCAGGTGACAAGTCATCTGGTATGCCGACAAACTCCTCTCACTTGGGTTAAATGCTTGTTTTCTCGTCGCTACTACCCCTTAAAGCATTATGTCTAGTTTATCTTCGAACTCCGACTCAATTTTGCACTTCTTATATTTTTCTACTGTCGGCATGCCTGTAACATTGTGGGGGAGGAGGGGGTTTAGAGGGCTTATTAGTTAAAACAAAAAATTATGAGAATAAACCAAATGAGAGTATAATTTTTACCTCTAATTTCTTAACCTACCACTCATTTGGAGTATCGATTATTCGCTTAATGGGATCTCAACCCAACCTGGTGGATTCACGTTTCAACTCATTCCAAATTTTCCACTCCTTAGTCAATTGATCTCATTTATTTTTGAATTTTAGTTTGTCGTAATCCCTTCCCGTCAATTGTTTGAACCTATTCACAATATTTTGACAATCACCCTTGTTAAAATAAGTGGTTCGTCTATTTTCAATCTCAATTTTTTTAATCATAGATTACAAAAAATGTACGTTACTTCTTTATCCCACTTTGCTGACGGACCCCCTTCACTCGTCTTAGCCATGTGTGTACTAATTAAAGAACACGACAGTTAAAAAAAATAACTTAAAACATGTAATAAACTCAACATTTGAACTAATATATAATGAGAATGAAAAAAAAAATGTATTACAAACCAGTAATCACAAAAGAGAGGATAAAGGACAATAAGGAGGGGCTCCAAAAAAAAAAAAAAGCTAAAAAAACTGAATTCGTTGTAAGGGAGACGACCTTCGAAAATAAAACATCTTTCAAACCATAATGATGAAGATCCTAAGAAAATGAAGTACAATGGAGATATCATCATATTAATTACACACTTCAAAAACCGTAAGCAAAAACTTTAACTAGCATGTGAAAAAAAGCATCATTTTGCGAGACAAAGATCAAACGAAATAGCATAAAGAAATGCACAATATAGGCTTGTCGTTTGATTAATAGTACCGAGGACTTCAACTTCATATAAAAAAAAAATTAAAACTGTTAAAGAATGGAATTTGTTGTTGCAAGAAATAATCCAATGGCAATCCATGCTGCTCCGTAAATTTATCCTCAATATTAGCATAAGATAAATGTTAATGAATGAAAAGCAGTAATCAACTGACAATCTAAGGTGTCAGGTGAGTAGTAAGCTGGCACACATATTCCCATTAAAAAGTTATCACCAAGATTACCATGACATCATGATAACCCTTTATAAACTTGTAAATATCTTTATGGCTTAATAGAAAAAAAACCTAATTTTCTATTCATTACTCCCGAGCACAACACATAAAGCAAATATTCATTATGTTTAGATTTGATGAATGATAAGTTTGCACTTATTAGATAGAAGGTTAAAATTTCATGCTACGTCAAAGAACTCATAAAACCAAAATATGATAATTTTTTCATCAGGAATCCATACATCGGGCTATGAGGTTTTTTATGGCCTAATATTGCAAAAGTGTTAATAATGTATAAACATAGTAAACCTGTAGCAAATATTCATTCCAATTCCACATAAAGCAATTATGCATTCCAATTCCATAGCTCATAAGGATTTTAAACTGTATAAGCTTTAAAAATAAAAGGGAGTTCAACTCTAAAGAAGAGCTCGAAAAAAGCACAGGGCTTGCAATGAACCAAACATCAATTTTCCATAAAATAAACTCAATTGCAATGTTTCAAATATTAGAAGCCAACACTTCAATTCCTCTGTATTCACATCTAACTGGATGTATGTATGTGCTGCCCCCAAAAAGAATCATTTTCCGAATAAAATGTTGTAGCACTGTCCAAAAATCAATTTTCCATAAAACTATATCCACATGTAGCATAATATGTGCATTGCTACATTTCATAACCATGAATACATAGTATTCCTTCATTTGGTGACCAATTCTTCTAACAATAGCTAATTTGAATTAATTTTCTTGCTTGTAAATCGTAAAACAACTTTAGTATTTTGCAAGAAAAATAGAAATATATGCCATAAAACTCAATCGCTTACTAATAACAACTTAAAGAGGAATTCAAATTTTTAAGGAAGTAGAGTTCTATAATATAATGAGAAGGGACATTTCCATACATGCCACCAGATTCCAATTTATTTTACATGAATAAAACCTAAAGTTTGCTTCTTATTACGACGAATAGTAGAACATATCAACATATTCATGCAATTTACCAAAATTGAAGACCACCCTCAACAAAATTCATCAAACCTTTCCAAGCATGCGTATCACAAAATCCGAAAATCACCACTATTGAATTCTCCAAACTTCCCAAACATGCCATCCTACCCATGTATATTATGCACCCCACAGCATGACTAGTAGCCAACAACCTTTCCAACAACATGATTAGCACCCATAATTTAAAACCAGCCTTTCAAACATGTAATCAAATCATAAAAACGGTATGAAAGAAATAGTGTGTATAATTGAAAACTTGCATGCAACATTGTTGAATTTTCACTAAGCCTGCTCACCCTCTAATCATAGTTAACTTGAGGCACGTTGAACTCGAACATTTCAGCATAATTATTTGCCGAAATGGCTCATCTATAACTATTTGCCAACCTCAATGATGCAAAAAAAGTTACCAAATTGTAATAGAAATGCTGTAAGATAATTCACCCAAGGGACAACACATGGATCAACCCAATGCTTCAGAAAATTAACAAATAAAGCAAGCACAAGGTTCCTTTCCATGACATTCCAAAAATTTGCCTTCAACATCTAGGTGCTAAATAGAGAATTCCATGAACTCAAAAATTTTGGCATTAGAGCAGATCAAAATCGTTTCTATGACTGCTAACAGATCAACCCACAAAAACAATGCATCACCAGAGCTTATAGAGGCAACACAAGTTCAAAAAATTCAGACACATTACTATTATTAGAGAGTCGGAGCACCAAAGTTAGGTGAGGGTGAGGGAAAATGAAGGAGAACTTACAGGGGGAATATGGAGAGTTGGGGACGAGTCTGAACTAGAGCACATGCGAGAGATCGGGAGATGGAAGAACAGAGGAGATCAGAGATGACGAGGAATTAGAGCACTGAGAGAGATAAGAGAGGAGAAGGTAGAAGATTAGGGCGGAATCGAGGGGCTGGAGGGTAATAAGCTCGAACAAGACGTGGAAAGCGGGTCCAAAGCGCGACCACTAATAATGAAGGATTGACATCGAGCGATTTCAGACCTCAATTTATACGCGCGAAACAAACGCTCAGTCGGCGTTTTCAAAACACCGACCGCACTAATAAACTGCCCCAAATGGGCCCTTAGTTGCTAGATATGTAAAAACATAAGAATTGGGCGGTATATAAATGCCACCAATGAAATTTATATACAAAAGAATCCGGTGGTATACAAATACCACTAATGAAAGTTATATAGAAGCTAATTTCACTAATATTTATTTTCTAACCTTATTCACTTTTAAGTTTTTCTAATTTCAATAAATATCATTTTTAAGGGTCGCGCCACTAAATTAAAAACAACAACAATAACTCTTAAATCTACATTAATTGATCATCTCATGAATTCACAAAAAAATACATTCTCTAACTCTTTTCTATTAAATAAAAAGTATGAAATCTTTTTCAAAGAAATTGAACCCAAAGAATAATATCAAATCTCCGATCTTATAGTGAAAAATTACATTTTCAATTATTACATAAAAAATATGAACTTAAGTCCATGATTGATAGCCTTAGCTAATAACTAAAAAAATGTTGAGGTTTTGTACCTTATAAAACAGAAGGAAGAAGATGATAAAAATTTGGTATCTAACAAAAGCAGGCCAAACCTTTTTCTTTCGCTTGAATTTTTAAGCGTTTCGTTGATACAGTCGAAGCCATCTGGCGTTGAAGAGATCGAAGGAAGCCAAAATTTCCGTTCCCTAAATATAAATTTCTTTCAGACTCCATTAAAAGATCAGATCCCAATATCCAATCCCTCGCCTTTGAATCGATCTGTAACCATTTTTCTCAAAAAGAACACGATCGATCGCTAATCTTCGTTCTTCGTATATTCGTCGATCTTATTATTTTCAATGCCTTCTTTCATATATCATACCCTTCTTTTCCTCTTTCTATTGCTATTCTTCGAGACCTCTGCTGCGGCCGTTGGTCTTCAGAGGTCATTATTTCGGTCCCTCGGCGAGGGTACTGGTCTGCCGGATTACGCCGTCGATCTGAACAGCTCCACCTTTGACAGCATCCTCAAGGAATCACCCGCCAGCTTTGCCATCGTGGAGTTCTTTGCCCACTGGTAAGATGTTGTTATTCTTTTGAGATCTTGTGATAGGATCTTTTCCGGCACTGCTACTTTCTTCTTGGTGAGTGATGGAAAATGGTTTTAGTATGGTTATTGTTGATCAATGGAAAATGATTTGGTTGTAGTAGTTAAGTTTTATATAATATATTTCATTCTAGGAAATCTGAGTGCTCTTTTAGTTGAGTTGGAAGATTTAATTGGTGGTTTTTCGCTGACTTTCTAAATGTATCTGCGCGTTTTAGGTTTTCTAGGAATGTCTGATTCATTGCAAAATGCAATTCTCTGCCTTTTTAAGCAGGGCTCCAGTAGGCGGTTTACTGAAAAACAGCGTTTCTAACTCTATTGGCGTGTTGTTTTATGAACTATGTGAGTAGGAAAAGTGTTTATCTTTGGAGGGGATTAGTTACTAGGGTTAAATGCTGTTTTTTTAATAGCTATTTGGCCACAGGTAGGATTCAACTCAAGTAGGATTTAAGAAATCACGCAAATCCAGTTTCAGTAAATCATGAATGGTTAAAGTCTAAGAAAATGTTTGGGGCGACATTTTTAAAATTTTGTAAAATTCTGATATTGTTGGGCTATTTTTTCAGTATTTAAGATTTTTGAGAGAAGAAATCATTAAATCCATTAAATCTTATGAATCATATATTTAGAAAATTCTTGGATTTAACCAATAATGAAGTTGAAATGAATTTTATCAATGTATAGGATTTTGAATCCCCCAAATTCTATTTGTTAGGATTTAAGTGAGGTTCCTAAACTTTGTGTATGTCTTGTCTTGAGTGGGATACTAAACAATCCTTTGGTCTTCTTATTTTATTTGATAAAACTCATGTTTGATGGAGGATCAGGGGTTTGTCTTTTAGGTCATAGGGTGGGATTATTTTTATTTTTATTTTTATTTTTATTTTTTGTGCTGTGACTGGGGCCATTATGCCATATAAGATGATAGAAAGGGCATATGAAAATTCTTGCTTGAGCCGGATCTGCTTACATTGGCAAATCAATTTGCTTATCGTTCTTTGGCTAAATAATTTGTTTCTTGGTATGCTAGATGATTATTTATCAATCGAGTATATTGAAATAAGATATCAAAATTGCAATAATGTATGCAATGATGGTACATTATGATATATGATTAAAGAGGAAAAATAAAATTTTTATGACTTTTCATAACTCAAGCTTAACCAAATCAGAATATTTTTAAATCTCTAGTTATTTTTTTTCATCTTTAATAGTTAGTAGTTCTTTTGTTACTTTTATTGAGAAATTTTGAGTCAGTCATGGAAATTGGAAGCAAAGTTGGAAGACTAAAATTAACTTGTTCATAGTTATATTGCTGGATAATAACTAAAATACAATGCCAGGCTTTATCAGGATGAGTTGAAAATAAGGATTCATAATTGTTGTTCTTACCATTTGAGCACAATTGATGATATCAAATGGTCGTTCTACTTATATGATAGCTTATCTTTGTTTTGATTCAATATTCATTAATTCCTTCATTTGATTTATATTTTCTTAGTTAACTTTGCTATTAATCCCATGCTACTTGAAATGTTTATGTTGTATAATTTCAAATTCTGTAGGTGTCCTGCTTGCAGAAATTATAAGGTAAGCATTCTTAGCTTTGGGTGTAGTAGTTTCAAAATTTTTCATGTTTTAATTCCTTACCTTCATTGAGCTACTCTACAGCCTCATTATGAGAAGGTTGCAAGGCTTTTCAATGGACCAAATGCTGTTCATCCTGGGATTATACTAATGACGCGGGTAGACTGTGCAATGAAGGTATATTGATTCTATTCTCATGGCTTGTCTGTGCTAGCTTGACCATTTGGCGGATCTTTTTTTGATAATTTAGTGTCGATCAACTGATGCTTCATGTTCTTTTAATCTTTTTAGTATTATATCCAAGTTAGTGATTCATCTTCATTTGCTTAAAAGTTTATTTTTGCAGTGCTAATGTGAGCACTTGTGTAGTGCATAACCCCAATCTTTATGTTAGCTTAATCATTTGGCGGATCTTATTAGTGTTGTCATCGTCCTCATGAGCATCATCAACAACAACATTAGCATTAGCCTATATGACGTATTTTGTCATCTTTATGAATTTTTCATCTCCATTCATTTGTTTTGAATGGTACTAGATTGCTAAACTTTATTTTGTGAATGCTTGTTGCAGAACATCTAGCCATTTTATTTTGGTTTAAAGGATTACGTTTCCTAATTATTTACATTAATATTATATACACGCCTTAATCTCCTATCTTTAATCTTCTTTGAATATGGAAAGGAAAAGCGCCCGTTGCTATTGAATAATGGGATATAGGATGGTCGAGGAAGGCAAAGACATCTTCAATGAGAGATAAAGATGGTGGTGCTATGTGAGGATGATATCTGATTGATGGGATGATGGTTGATTGTGATGTCATAATGGTAAAGGGAATGATAATGGATGATCTAAGGAGAGATGATAATGCCATATAGTCGAGATTTGGAACTTGGTGTGGTGGTTAGAAATGCGAGGCAATGATTAACATCTTAGATGATGTTGATATGAGTGATTTAAAGGAGGGATGAGAGAGAGAGAGAGAGAGAGAGAGAGAGAGAGAGAGAGAGAGAGAGAGAGAGAGAGAGAGAGAGAGAGAGAGAGAGAGAGATGACTGGGACAAGAGCTAAGGTGGTGATGGGTTGTTATTAGTTTATAATTTTTAGTTTCTTATATCTTAGGACTTGGATCAAAACTGTTATTGGTTTAAAATGGTCATGAAGCAGCAGGTTCAAGTAGGTTCCTCTGACTTGATATAGTTTTGCAGACCTTATTTATCACATATAGCGGATCCAATTGATAATTGTTATTTTGGCTCTACTAAAGTTGCATATAATATGGTAGATTTTTCTTATAACCTTAAAACCATCAATTTTTGAGAAGATTTTGCGTGTTACTTTAACTCTTCACTTATTTTAGAAGAGGTATTGCCTACAAATTATTTTACTTGCATATAGTATTCTTTGAGCCTATGAATGCTGTTTTTGCATTCTTTCAACTCATTCATAGGTCTCTTCTCTTTAATTCAATTGTGTGTCCTCCTCAATAGGCAGTTGATGCTTAGTAAGAGATGTTGTGGTACTAACGCTTAACAAATTAAGTCTTTTTCTTAACACGAGTTTACAAATTGTTACGACTTTGATATGCGTATGCTTGCTTCCGCCCCAGCTAACGAGAGAGCCAACCGTGCAAACGACGAACCGGTCCAAGGAAGATCGGCCTGGACCGACTAGATCCAACCATACCAGCTGGCGACCTGGCCAAGCCAGCCGACCTACCTAGAGAGGAAAAATCTCTAGGAGATGTTGCAGACAATTTTAATGCTCTGGTGGGGCCTACACAATTGCTAATCACGTACTAGAGGTGGAGAATTAAGGGGGTTTTGGGCTGAAAGTTTGTAAGGGATTTTAGGGAGTATTTATTAGAGCTAATTGGCTAGGGTTGGTTTTTTAGGTTTTGATTTGCTGCAATTTTTCTTTTCTAGTAGTGTTCCAAGTGGCCTCTAGGGTTTATGGAGAGACGATCTACCTCTTGAACAGTAGATCAACATTGCATCTTGTTTGCTTTCGTTGATATTAGTAAAATCAGCCCTTAATCAAGTTCCCCACATCTCAATTGGAATTTATCCATTGTTTGTTCACTGTAATTCGTTCGGGTGTATCAAATTGATATTGGAGCAAGATCTTGGAGGAATGTCAATAGAGGTGGATTTGTTGGAAGGAGAATTGGGGCAAATAAGATCGGGAATGGAAGATGGGCTTACCATCATAAAGGATACGCTTTTTTCCATAGGGACCGAATGAAGGACCAATTTAGGAGCATGGAGGAAATAATAAAGTGGCTTCTGGAGATGCAATCCAAGAGCCGATGACTCAAATTGTAAACCCTAACTAAGGGTTAATCAGAGAATCCTTGGCCAAATTGAAAGGTAAGGAGATCGAACGAGAGGACAATGAGGAGGAAAACATCTAATACCAAGAGCTTCCTCCTAGGACTCCAAAAGGGAGGGGGTGTGGAAACTTTTGATGGAGGGGTGTGGGTCGAAAATTGGGGAGTGGTGCAAGGCTTGAAATATGAAGGAGAGAAGCGGGAGTTGGATATGGCTATTACCGAAGGAGGGAGTTTCATCCTAAACACATGTGGGTAAACGACAAGGGGAGAGGATCTTGGGATAGCGATGCGAGGGTAAGGAAACTAATGATTCAGATCTCCAAAGGGGAAGATACACATGGGTGAGTTTATCAGGTGGAGTAATACTTTGCAGTAAATAAGTTCACTGGGGAAGAAATCTTATGGATATGTTAGGAGGGAAAAACCCTAACATGGTTATAGTAGATGGAGGCGAGATATCCGATCCATTTGTGAGAGGAGTTTAAGGGTTGTTTGTTGGAAGTTTCTTAGTCATTCGGGAAGGTGATCTACATGAGCAATTCTATGCTTTGACTCAGGAGGGGATAGTCACAGAATATAGAGAGAGGTTCGAGCTCTTATCGGGGCGGCTGAGGGGTATTTCTGTAATATGGTTGGAGGGGAACTTCTTGAAGGTCCTAAAGGTTGATATCCAAGAAGCCCTCTAACCATTGAAACCGTAGGGATTGAGGGAGATGATGGAGCTCGCCCAGATGATGGAAGAAAAGAAATATGCGAAGAAGACCAACAAAGGTGACACCATGGAGTGCCTTGATGACCATGAAACCGAGGACTTAGACGGTGTCGTTTTAAAAGAAGATGCCCAAGGAGAAGAATATGGGGTATGAAACCGAGGATCTACTTTAAGCCCTTGTTTTTTTGCTTGAGTTATGGATGCTCTTATTGGACATTTATAGGAGGATATACCTTGGTGTATGCTTTTTGCTGATGATATACTTCTTGTGGATAAAACTAGAGAAAAAGCTCAAAAAAATTTTGAATTATAGAGGTCTGTATTTGAGTCTAAAGGTCTTTGTTTAAGTAGAACTAAAATTGAATACATGAAATGTAATTTTAGTAGTAGTAGTAGCTCTAGTGACAAAGTTGTAACTATGGGTAAATTATTAAAAGACATGAACGCTTTAGATATCTCGGGTCTATTGTTCAAAGTGATGGTGATATAGATGGGGATGTTATTAGTTGAGTTCAAGTAGGTTGGTTGAAGTGGAGGAATGCTTCAGGCTTATTGTGTGATGAGAAATACTGCTTAAATTGAAAGGAAAATTTTATAAGATGATGGTGAAATCTGCAATGCTCTATGGCGCTGAATATTGGCCTTTAAAAGAGAAGCATAAAACTAAGTTAAGTGTTTCCGAAATGAGAATGAGAATGCGAATGCTTAGGTGGATGAGTGGCTTTACAGTTAGAGACAAATTACGAAATGAATATATCTGTGATAGGGTTGGTGCAGCTTCAGTGGCAGACAAAATTATAGAGTCGTCTTAGATGGTTTGGTCACATTAAATGTCGCTTTTTGATGATCCAGTTAGGAGAGTAGATGTTTTAGATTCGACTTATGTTAAGAAAGGTAGAGGTAGACCTAGATAGACTTGGGCATATTGTTTAAAAATGATCTTAATTTATTAGAATTAAATGAAAATATGACACTCAATAGGACGCAATAGAAAAAAGGGATTCATGTTAACGACCCCACTTAGTGGGATAAAGGTTTATGGTTGTTGATGTAATGTGCACGCACATACAATTTTGTTTTGTTTTGTTTTGTTTTGTTTTTTTTTGTCATGTACATTAGTTTGGTTAGACTAATGCATTATGCCTAGGATTGGACTTGTTTGCTTGCTGGTATAATATCCCAATTTTGTGTCAAGTCAAGTGCTCTTAGTGGTATTCTAAGTCTAGTTATAAAGTCGTAAGCCCCAATCCGATTTTCTTAGAGTCTAAGATCTCTTTGTTAGTCAAAGATACTCTTGGGAGTATTATGAGTCTAATCAGTGTAAATATCTCTTAATTTAGGAGTATTCTTAGTGTCTAGGACCTCATTGTTAGTCAAAGCAAATATGCTCTTTTGGGAGTATTATGAGTTCAGTTAGAATAATTCTTTTTTAGTTGATATAGAGTGAGAAGTCCCCAGTTAATCTTATTTGAGTCTAGGATTTCATTGTCAATGTAAGGTAGATACTTAGAGAAGCATAGTGAGACTAGTTTGAATAACTTCCCTTTGTTTTTGATGCATAAGACCACAAATATTTATCTATGTTTATAGGTCCAATCTTTTTGCTAGATTGTGGTTGCATTTTTTATCCTAGCACAGCTTTTTTGAGCTATCATTTTCTTTGGCATTTTTAATGATTATTATTTCTTTGATGTTTCAAGGGTGTACAATCTACTTTGCTTAGGATCGAACTTAATTGCTTTATGGTATAATAAGTCTGACATTTATCTCAAGTTGAATGATCTTAGCAGTATACTAAGTCTGGTTGTAAAGTCATAAGCCTTTATCTAGTTTTCTTAGAGTTTATAAATTCTTTGGTTTTCAAGATAGATACTACTTAGAGTGTTCTGAGTTTAATTAGGTTAACTCTCTAAATTTAGAGTTGTAAGCCACGAATTATTCTACTAAGAGTTTATGACCTCAATTGTCAATTAAAGCAGACATTCTCTTGGGAGTATTATGAGTTTAATTAGGATAATTCTCTTTAGTTGTTATGGAGTTGGAAGCGACCAATTAGTTTTGTTAGATTCTTAGGCCTCATTGTCAATATAAGACATATAATTTTAGGAGAATTATTAGACAAGTTTGAACAACTTT